AGGATTTTTATATCTTCTTGATTCTGCTTTGGTAATTCATATGTACCTAGGAATCTGTCCATTTCTTCTGTGTTTCTCATCTCATGAGAGTAAAGACTTTCAAATAGGTATTGATGATCTGAATTTCTATAGGATCTGTAGTGATTTCACCCCTTTCATTCCTTATTGCATGGATTTGAGTTTTTCCTTTCCTTTTTATGATAAAGTTGACTGGGGGTTTATCAATTTTATTTATTTTTTTCAAAGAACCAACTCTTTGATTCATTAATTCTTTATATTGTTTTCTTAGTCTCAATTTCATTAATTTGTGCTCTGATCTTTATAATTTCCTCACTTCTTTGGGCTTTGGGTTTGACTTGCTCTTCTTTTTGTAGAAGTTTGAGGCACAGTATAAGATTATTTATTTGTCTTCATTCTGTTTTCCTGATGTGGAACCCACTGCTCTAAATATCCCCCTAAGGACTGCTTTCATTGTGTCCCACAGATTCTGTAGTTTGTATCCGCATTTTCATTGGATTGTAAATGTGCTTCAGACACGTCCACATTGCTAGTCTCATTGATTACTCTGCCCTCCAAAGGCATGTGTGCACCCGTGCACCAGCCTGGCAGTCCTGCATCTGATCCAATGGTATTTATTCTGTTGTCAGCATTTAGTCTTTCCTTTTTCTTGTCCTATTCACTGGAAAATCTTCTTCCTCCATCATGTAGACAATGGCTTTTTCTGGATTTATTATATCTTGTTTGGGACAGAGTCACCTAGCAGTTTCTTTCTCTTCAAGCTCTTCTCATTCTTTCTTTGGCTCTACTTCTATGCCCAGGCTTGCATTAAGACGATTTTATCTCTGTGGGACCTTTGACTTCTTCCTCTAGTTATCAGGATGGTATATAGAAGAGACCCAACTTTCTCATTTGCTGGCTAGGTAGTATGGAATAATTCATATAAACGCTCCTAAAAAGAAATTTAAGAGGGCAATCCCATTTACAATAGCAGCAAAACCAAAAAAACTTAGAAATAAACATAAAGAGTGAAAGATGTGTTTGCTGAAAATTATGAAACATTGATGAAGGAAATTAAGGGAGATACATATAAAGAAAAATATACCATATCATCTGGACATTGAGATGTTTATCTCACATCCAGTTTGAAAGAGGAAATGCACACATCTATTCCAAGACAGGCCACAAATATGTTATAGATTAAAAGTGTGAATGGTTTATTGCAATTAAACAAATTTAGGAATAGTTGAGGATGACTATGGCAAGTGTATGAAGAGCAGATACAGCTACAGGGAGTTTGCAAAGATTTTGGATGAGTTGGGTAGGGAAATTCCTCATGAATTGGTTATTTGGGCAGCTGTTTAGATGCAGTCTAGTAGGACTTGATATAAAGTATTTAAGTGATAACACATCCCATTCTTGGCAGTATTTGGGTATGTAATGCTGTAGGCAGGCAGTAATAAGAACTAGTACTGTGGTGATTATAATGTGATAGAACTGAAAATATGCATCCAAAAAGAATTCTGAGCCTAGGAATTGGTGACTAATTGAATCTATGCGGAGGAAGAGAATAAGGTTCTAGATGACTCCGGAGTTTGGCCACCATAGCAATATGAGAATAGTGCACTGTCCAAAATGGGGTGGGAAAAAGATCTGGTTTGTTCAGAGCACTCCCCAGTTTTAGACTTGGAATTTAGAGTGATCCACTGGAGATGTCTTAGAAGCCAAAACCAACAAGATGCAATTTTTAGAGGGATGAATATAAATTCCTACATTTAGTTTAAGAAAAGAATTCAGTTGCACAAGGCCAGGATGTGGGATATCTGCTTGACAGCTAACTTAGGGATATTTTGGCCACAGACAAAATTAATTATGCACCAACAATGTACCCTGTTGCGGAAAGAGTGCATGTCATGTCATACTGTATTAATAACAGTATAGTCATCTGCCCAAGGGAGACTCAGTGGTCCCACCAGCATTTGTGCTATGAACTTTCATTTCCTGTCTCACCCTAGGCACCATGTTTTTAGAGAGAAGCACTCACAAAGATTAGAAAGCGGCCAGGATGGTTAGGGATCTGGAAATTGTGTCCTGAGGGAAATGGTTAAGGGAATAATGGAGCAAATTCAGGGAGAATGTGACAACAATCTTTAAAAAATTTGAAAAATTGTTTTCTGGGAGAGGGGATTGGGAATAAAACTATTTTGTTATAGTTGCTGTAAGGAGAATTGGGTAGAAGGTACAGAGAGCCTAAACATAAAACAATCAGATAAGATAGACAGACAGATAGGGCAAACAACCTAACAAAAGAGCTCCCTGCTACTGAATGTGTTCATGTGGAAGGTATATAATGCTTACTTGCATTTTATTTGTTGAACTAGATGATTTATAAAACTTTTTTCTAATTGTAAAATACTCCAATTCCTGTATCATTGGCTTATGAGAAATCAGTTAATAGCATGTTTTACTCTATGGCAACATGGCTATTTCCCAAGGACAGAAGAGTTAATTCTCTGAGAATACCAGCAGATCTTCACTCTATAGATAATTATTCCAGTAATGTAAGCTTGAAACCTTATCACCTTAACTGTCATATGACTAAAACCCTTCTTTAAGAGTTATCCATACCACGGAGTGTCACTAATGAAACACTGCACATGCTTCTTCCGGAGATCTGCTATTCCTGAAATCCTTTGCTACTAAAACACCACTTGGAACATGCTTATCAAAAAATCCCAAATTTCTCATCTCAGATGTTTCATCCTTAGAGATACCATCTCTAATACTATGTACTTTGTGTCATACTTAACACTTAATACTAACAGAAATAACTTGTTTACTAATCTGTTGTTGGTCCCTGTAATGGCTGGTGTCTGGATGTCCTCTGAGAGGCTCATGCAGTCATAGATATGAGATGGGTGGATCTAGGGTGTGTGATCCTGGGATTAAGAGTGTATGATTACTGAATTACTACACTGATTGATTTGGCATAGTTCAGGGTGTGGATAATGGGAAGGCACACCCTGGGTTTGAGTACTACTTTCCATAAGGGAATATATCCTGGGTGGATATAAAGGGACAAGAAAGAATGCAGAGTGATTACTTGCTGCTGCTTTGCTATTTTGCTGCTTTGCTGCCCTCTGCCTGCCTGCCATGAACCATTTCTCCTTTGTAATGCCCCTCTACCCTGCCACCCTGCCTTGGAGCCAGCCAACTATGACTTGAAACCTCTGCAAACTGCAAGCTACAATAAACATTTCCTTTCAGTGTTGGATATTTTGTCTCAGCAGCAAGCAAAGTAACTAAGATAGATTCCTTACCAATACAAAAGCAATTTTGAGAGAGAGAGAAGAGAGAGAGAGAGGAAGACAGAGAAAGACAGACAGAGAGCTTATATGTCTTGTTCATTGTAGTACCTGTAGTATTAAGAAGAATGCTAGGTATATAATAAAAATATGGTAGATACAACAGAAGTAACCCATGCAGCAGTAATTCAGTCCTTGCCACAGAGTTTCATTTCTGGACTTTTGTGTATAATTTAATCTATGCCAAACTGACATAGAGTATTTGCCAGGATGACAGAACATGATTGCTGCCACCTGTTAGGAAAACTTTATAAATTAAAGGCCATCAAAGAATCTTCCTTTCCTTATCCAACCATATGAAAAGGAATCCCAGTTCCATTCTTTTCATCTTAGCTTTGACTTTGAAATTCTTTACATTTTGCATTTTTCAGTGGCATTCTGTTCATCTTTTACATGTCACATTGTTGGTTGTGGAGCTCAGAATTTTTTGCAATTTTTTCAAGCCATAAAGCTATGTAGTTAACATATTAGCCAAGTAAAATATCCTTTCTTGGTAATCCACCCATTTTGTATCATCTTCTTGGTAACTAAATGGCATCAAAGATCATCTGTGCTTCTCAACCTCCCTATCCCAGTAACATAGATTACTCTTCGGAAAGACCTTTTCTTCTTTTCTTCAAACCTCTTCTGTCTCCTCCCGGCAAATGACTGTTTCATATCATCATAGTGTGGTTATTTGTTTATTTATTTTGAGGCTGACAACTGAACCCAAGGCCTTAGCATGTTAATGCAAGCACTCTACTGCAGACCTCCAGCTCCAACCCACTTTATATTTTATTGAGAAAACAGAAACAGTCAGTGTATGGCCTGTGTTTAGATGTCCCCCCAAAGCCTCATGAAGTCATAGGTTGGACTTTTTCAGAGATGGCTGGATCTAGAGTGTGTGGTTGATTCAAGGTGCAAAGCTAGGGCTAAGGGTGTGCATGCTGCTTTAAGCCTGGATATAGTATCAAGGACAGAAAGAGGCTTGTATCATTGATTCATTTTACTACACCAGGAAAGGAGTTTTAAAACTCCTCCTATCTGATGTTCTTCCTATGTCTGACAATTTGTCAGTTGTAGGACAGGTACATATAGAGCAGGGCTTCTCCATTTATAGCATTTCAGTAGTTGCCTTTGTAAACGTTGTGATCACATAGAATCATATCAAAATTAAAGGTCTCTTTGCTATATCCATAAATAGAGCAGACTTATTGACTGAAGTGAGGTAGCTCACTTAGGCATAGAACACAGGAGGCCTCAGGTCTTCGTGTTTCTGATTTCAGGGAAAGAGTCCATTACTGTTTTTAATGGTTGCATCTGTGGGTCACAAGGTTAGATTACTGCTGGGTTACTTAGTGAATTATGAATGAGTCATCAGCTGTGTTTTAAAATGTCGTGGGAATGGTTTTTCATACAATTTTAATGAAGTTAAGTGCTTTAATTAAAAATTAAATTTTGATTTAATTGATGAAATAGTGTTTGAGTATGAAGTTCAGATGAACTTTATAAACATAACTTTAGTTGTAAGTGAAATAATTGAAGATTATTTTGAAGTTTTCTTAGATTATGTAGCTCTGAGCAGAGGGATTAAATTATTTCTTTCTTCTTCTGAAGGCAGATAAAGCATATGTTCATTAAATCTCTATGTTTTTGCAGTTGACAGTACTAAATTTGGGAAACAATCTTTTCAAAGAAGTTCCAGAAGAGATGAAATACCTTACTTCCCTGAAGAAACTTCATTTATTTGGAAATAGGATTTGTAGATTTGCACCTGGAGCATGTGGTAAGTCAGTCAAAGAAAAATAACATTATTATAAGATTTAATCCCTCATATGCAACTGAAGTGAAAAAACTTCACAGACTTTCATCTTTTTTGTTACAGATATTTACATACTAATTTTAAAATTAAGAAGTTTAGAGACATAACTGTTTTCCAATTTTTGTATCTAATATTTTATTTACATGTAGATTAAGAGAATAAATAAGCATTAGTGTTAATGAATTTCCCCCTTTTCAGAATTAGTGCATATTCAGACTCTTGATTCAAAAGTCCTTTTCCTAATGCACAGAGAAAGCTTTTTGAAATTCAAGAAAAGTTCTCCACAGCTTTTCTTTTTCTTTCCACTTTTTTATTTTATCTCAGGTATTAAATCACAGGCTTTGATTAAGATACTAAATTTAAGTCAGTTTGGGGAGAAGTTTTAAAAATTATGAGATTCAATAAATGGAATTCCTTTCTTTGTGTTTGTCATAAGCTAATACTTTTTCCATTCAATATGAAACTCTTCTTATCTGATGTAGCTAGGATAGGTTTAAGGACATATGCATAACAAAGCAATCCAGGTGGTTTTAATAGTCTTCTTAACTCACACAAGGTACTTCACCACCTTATATGTAACTTTATACGTTAGTTGGTTTTTCATTACTGACATAAACAATTCAAAAGGAGGAAATACTTATTTTTCCCTCTGGTTTCAGAGGTGTCAGATTACTTGGTTGTGTTGCTTTTGGACCTGTGGTGAGGCAGACCATCATGGGGACAAGTGCATGGTAGAGCAAAAGCTGCTCACTTCCTGGTGGCCAGGAAGCAGAGAGGAAGAGGAAGGAGCCTGGGTCTCAGAGTCCTCCCCGCGGGCACACCTCTATGACCTTATTTCCTTCCACTGGGTCCTTCCTCCTAAAAGCTCCTCACATGCCAACAGTGCCTTTATCACAGTGACACCTTTTAGAGATGAGTGTGGGGACCACGCCTTTATCACAGTGACACCTTTTAGAGATGAGTGTCCCAACTGCACCCCCAAATCCACTTATATGTTGCAAGGTGCCAACACTATGATTAAACCTGAGTATTGAAGTTTTATTTATTTATTTATTTTTTTTGGTTTTTCTCCGGTACTGGGAACCGAACTCACAACCTTGCACTTGCCAGTCAGGCGCTTTGCCGCAGAGCTAAATCTCCAGCCCCATAAGTTTGTTTTTTATTTTTGTTTGTTTGTTTTTTTGTTTTTTTGTTTCCTTCTTTTTGAGACAGTGTCTTGCTATGCTGTTCAGGCCGGCCTTGAACTCACTTTGTAGCCCAGGCTGGTCTTGAACTCACACCGATCTTCCTGCCTCAGCCTCCCGAGTGCTGGGATTACAGGTGTGCGCCACCACGCCTGGCTCGAAGTTTTAGTTTAGAAAACTGCTATCCAATGCTCAGCGGCTGGGGTGACTTGGCTCACGTGCTGACAGAGGGCTTTGCATGCTCGCCCTGGATGTGTTCCCTAGGTTCAGCACCACTGCTTTACACGTGAGTCTTGGGGGACATTCCAGATGCAAACCCTCACAGTTTGCAGCGATAAAACTAGAGAAATGTTTAGGATGTATAAATTTCTCTGAAATTCTGGGCCACTGGAGGCCGTAAATGATAATCAATGTCATCTTCAAGCACTATTGAAAGGCACTGTTATGTTTGGCAAATAATATAATTAAGCGCTAGTAGTATATCTTTTTAGGTACCTTATTTAGTTACTTATTATTTATTTATTAGCTAGAGTTTGAGATTAGGGCCTCATATATGCCAAGCAAGAGATCTACCACTGAGGTACATCCTCATCCCTGAAGGTGAAACTTTAAATATCCCTTTTGATCAACATAAATTATAGGTTGGTTCCTGATTATCGAGGGATAGAAGTAATTTGTTGTCAGGGGGTTGAATGCCAGTCAGCATAGGTCTGGAGAGCTCTGCTGTATCATGTGACCTTGTGCCCCTGACTGGAGCAGTTGACCTGCATAAAACATGCGTCCACAAGCTGAGTCAGTCATATGCTCTATTTTTTTTAGGATTGTGACAGAGTCTTAAAGAGCTTCACTGACTTGAGAAAAATCACATGACCTGAGACAAATTGGTGGCCCATGGGGTGAAGCTAGTTTATAAATACCTTTGGCTCTGTTTTGAACCTATTGGAGTTTTTGAATGAGGTACCAAAATTTTCAAATAGGAGAATATGCAAAAAGTCTATATCTCTGACTAATTTGGGCATTTCAAAAAGGAAAGATTAAACAACATTGCAGTCAAATCTCTACATGACAGTTGTGAAGTGTTAGCTGTGTGGTGGTGGCACTGGTTGACAGAGCATAGGGTTATCCTCTTGGCTCCTATGGCATTTGAGAATGAGAACCCTCTGCCTGCCCTGTGAACATTCTCATATAGGAGCTGTAGGGTGGCTTTGAATACATGGAAAAATAGACGACATGTGTTCAAAAGAGAAAGAGTGTATTGAGGTGGGGAGAGACAGAGACCAGAGAGTCAGAGACAGAGTGATGAGAGGATATAAATACGAAGCTGAGAAAAGATTTAATGAGAAAGTAAACTATCTATTCCACAGAGATATCAGAAAGGTACGTCCCAGCTTTTGAGTGCCTCCTAGTTTCTGGTTCTAATTGTGAAATGCCTGGTTTACCCTCTGTTCTTAGAAACTATGACTGAGCTTTTCAACTTCGTGATCCATCCGCCCTTTTCTCTGAGCTAGTTTATGAGAGTACCTGTCAGCGGCCTTGTCCAAGGCAAAAAGACAGAAGGAAAACGAAAGTGTGTAGAACAGTGACTAAAAAGTATTTTCTAACAGATGGCTACCGTGACTAACATTATTTTCTAACAGATGGTTTACAAAATTTGATCCTGCTTAATCTGAACCATAATCAGCTCACACAGCTTCCTCAGGAAGTCAACAGGTAATTTTGCTTCTAGCAAGAGCCATTTGACCGCTTTGCCCAACCCCATCTCCATCCTGATAGGCATTATGTACTCCCGGCCTCAAGTACTCCCGGGATTTGGATATAGCATGCAGGGGTCTGAAGGACTGAAGCAGGGCACTGATTTTAAGGTGATTCCTCAGCTCCTTTGGAGAAATGAGCAACAGCGTGACTTGGAAGTCTAAGTGTCAAAGTCGGGGTTTGAAGTTCTAAAGCTGATGTTGTTACTGGTTTCCCAACTCTGGGGTTCTTGGCACTTCCTTAGCCATGGAATTGGGGAAATTAAATTTTATTTCCCAGGAGTTTTGTAAATGATTTTGAATTTGGTGGAAAAGGTAATCTAGAAGCAAAGGATTTAACACTGCAATGCCATTTTCATATTTTAAAAACCCCATACTTTATCATCATTAGCAACAACAAGACATTCTGTTTTCCCTTATCTCACACGTCAGCACAGATGGGCTCCATTCCCATGCTTTTGTGGAGCCAGCTGAGAGCCTTGCCCTTCTCTAGGAAAAATGTCCTCTTGGCCTTTGCCCCTGACACATGGAGAGAGAATCCTGATCAGGTTCACTTTGGAGAGACTCTTTCCTGTTGAAGAAAACCAGATGTGTCACAAAGAGTGTCCAGAGTTTTCAAGGAGGATACAGAACTATGGGCAATACTCAGCATAACAATACTGAACATATTGAACTTTCTGCAGCATTTACCGTCTATCCCAATTTTCTTGTCTGTAACTCCAGCTAAGGTAGTTTTTTGCAAAATTTTCATAGGGAAAGTAATATTTTAATTCAGGGCAATCAGAAAACAAATCAATCTAATTTCTATAGAAGAGAAATACTATTCAATGAAAATATCAAGTTATCTTCTTGCTTTTTCATTTAGTTTATCAGTTGATTTATGCATTAATGATGATATGAAAAAAGCACATTTGGAAGATCTTGTGAGTGAGATTCAACCCATATATCTTTTTACAACTAGCCTTATGATTTTGGGCAAGTTGTTTAACTGTACTAGGTCTCATCTATCCCATCTATTATTGGAAGATTTTTAAATGAATGAACTTCAAAGTTCTTGTAGCTATAATGTTATAATTTCACAATATGTGAAACTTATCTCTGAAGTAGTATATACAGTATTTAAGGAATCATATAAATCTAAGATGATATGTGAGGTGAAAGCTTTCACTGGAAAAAAATTGAATTCCAAAGTGTACAAGCCCAAGTTTTATAGCTACTTCTAGGGTGTTTGTATTCTGGCTAGGCTGTAGAAAAGCTGATTGGTCATCTCCCCAAGCAGAATTTTGTTTTCTGTCCCTGGAGAAGTGCTCTGCCTTCTCATACCTTATTGTCCTCATCTGCACAATGAACATAACGGTACTTACCACATAGTGTTATGAGGTTCAAATATACTAATCCATATTTAGGGTTGAATAAGTGCTGGCTGGATGTTAGCATTTATTATTATGGGCTCTTACTTTATTCTAGCCTTTCTCCGCTCCTCTCATTCAGCTCCTTTTCAGCGACAAAAGAGTGACTTATTGGTGAAGGGAGAAAAGCGTTAAGCATGCATGGCTTGACGTCTCCCTCTGGCTCTACCATAAAGTAAGCAGCAAGAAGGCGACGAATGTTGAATTTGGAGTGCTTGTAGGGAGACTGAGCGCTTTCACGTCAGCTACATGATGACACTCTGTTTCCTTCCAAGTCCCTGTCTTATTTTTGAATTTGTTCGGAACCCAAGAGGGTAGAGAGGACTTTGGTGTTTTGGTTTGCTGTGGATACAGGGTGTCAGTTCATAGGCTTGGAGTCAAAGCAGGGCAGGTAAGAGTTTTACCATTAAACACCTTTTCAAGGTGGAACTGCAGAGCCCCAGGAAGAGGAGAACCTACGTATCCTGTGGAGATAGAAACTCTCTGAAAGAGAGAGAGGGAGAGAGGAGGGGACCAAGCCAAGGGGTTCAAGTCTTCAGATTTACCAACCAGTCAAAGTATTCATCAGCCCACTAGGGAAGAAGGAGGAAGAGGAAAGCTCCTCTTCTAGGAGTTCTCCCTGCTCTGTGGAAATAAGAATGGTGATGGATGCTTATTTTGCCCCTCTTCTTCACTTATCCAAAAGCATGATGAAGGCATTTACAGTAGGCGCTGAGCTCAGTTCAGTGTCCTGAAACAGGAAAAAAAAAAAAAGGGAAAAAAAAGTACAGTGTAGAGTCAATTAAAACAACGACTAATAATGATTAACAAAAAACTCTCCATTGCTTTCTCTGCGGGACCTATCCATACACTTTTACTACTTTTCAATAGTGAGCTTTCCTTATTTGATGCTTTACACTCCTGGCAAATGACTTCTTCCTATTTTACAGGAAACAGTTGAGCTTCCTTAATTCTTTTCCTTCAACCTCATTGGCACCATTGGTGAACTTCTTCTCTAGCTTCCCCATCCTCCTTTAAAGTGCTGCCTGTCCATATCTTTTCTTCCCTACTTATCTCTTTGTAATTTTCTTCTGCCCTCTTCATTTTACTGTAGATCATTTTCAAAGGTCATTACTGCCCTTTTGGTAATGGCATTTTCTTTCTGCAGAATAAATGTTACATAAAACTCATGAACGTACAATTTAATGAATGTTGACTAATTTTCCCTTTCAGTGAATCTGTACAACCTCCTCCTTTTTCTCCCCTCCTCCTCTTCTGTTTTTTTGCAGTACTGGAATTGAACCTAGGGCCTTTACATTGAGCTACATCCTCAGTCCTTTATTATTTTGACAAAGATACCAAGACAATTTAAATGAGAAAGGATAAGCCAGATGTGGTGGTGCAAGCCTGTAATCCTCAGCCTCCCCAGAATGCTTTATTATTGTTTGAGACAAAGTCTTGGTGAGTTGCGTGGCCTGGGCAGGAATTTGTGATCCTCCTGCTTCAGTTGTCCAGAGTGCTGAAATTACAGACGTGCACCTTCACACAGGGCTGAACTCTTACTCCTTATAAGCAAATAATATTCTGATTTCTATGTCTACAGTTAGTTTTGCCTATTCTAGCACTAAATAAATGGAATCATAGAGTATATATGTATACTCTTGTGTTTCTTCTTTTGCTTAGTATTTTTTTTATTAATCTTATTATTGGATTTATTGGTACTTGTTTTTTGTTTATCCTGAGTAACATTTTGCTGTATGAGTGTACCAGAAAACATTTGTCTTTTCTCCAGTTTATATACATTTGGAGAAAATGTACATAATGTACATTTCTATACATGTATACATTATATACATTTCTAGTCTGGAGTTATTTTGAATAAAGTTATCATATATATTTTTGTACAAGTCTTGTTGAATGAATGTTTATTTCTCATTTCAATTCTGAGTGGAACTGTAGATTCAGAAGGTATAAGAGTACATGTATATGTACTTTTGAAAATTTTGACAGTGATTTCACAAAGTGGTTGTACCATTTTACATGCTAATCAGCATTTAAAAAAAATGCTGGGAGGCTAGGGATTTAGCTCATTGGCACAGCGCCTGCCTGGTAAGTGCAAGGTCATGAGTTCGTTTCCCGGTACAGGAGAAAAACCAAAAAATAAAATAAAATAAAAATAAAAAAATTATGCAGTGGAGTGGGTGTGAAATAAAATCTAATTATAGTTTTAGTTTGCATTTTCCTGATGTCTGATAATGTGAAGCACCTTTTTAATGTTCTTATTCATCATTTATATAACTTCTTTTGTGAAATCTCTTTTTAGTATTTTGTGCATTAAAAATTGTATTATTATAATTAAGTTGTAAATTTTCTTTATTTTGGATACAAGAACTTTGAAACATATATTTTCTTCTTGTGTGGCTTATTTTCAACTTTCAGAATGGTGACTTTTATGAGCAAGAGTTTTAACTTTGATGATAGCTTAATTATAAATACATTCTAAAATAATTAGTGCTTTTTGTGGCCTTTAATAGAAATCTTTGCCTTCCCCAAAGTTATCAAGATAGTACCTGTCTGATATTTCCTTTTATAAGACAAGGTTCTAGTCTTTGTGTGAATCTGTGATTTGTCTTGAATTAATGTTTGTACGTGGTGTGAGGCAAAGATCAAGGTTCATGTTTCTTCCATATATTTATCCAATTGTTTTAGCACCATTTTTTTTTTTGTACCAGGAATCAAACTCAGGACCTTGTGTTTACCAGGCAGGCACTTGTGCCACTGAGCTATATCCCCGGCCTAGCACCATTTGTTGAAAGACTTTTTCTTGGATACAGGATCTCTCTATGTATTCCAGGCTACCTTTGAACTCACTATGTTGCCCAGGCTGGCTTGAAATGCGCAGCAGTTCTCCTGCTTCAGCCTTCCCAGAGTGCTAGGAATAAAGGGAATAAAGGCTTGTACCACCACCTCGGGCTTATCTTTTCTCATTTAAATTGTCTTGATACCTTTGTCAAAAATCAGTTAATTAAGCCAGGGAGATTGCTCAGCAACACTGCACCTGCCTGGCAAGCCCAAGGCCTGAATTTGATCCCCCATACAAAAAAAAAAAAAAAAAGAAAAAAAAAATCAGTTGATTGTTTAGAGGTTATTGGGACTCTTCTGTTCCATTGGTTTGTTTTCTGCTTATCTTAGTCTATTTGAGCTACTATAGCAGCATACTGTAAACTGAGTAGCTTATACAAAAAGGAAATTTATTTTCACAGTTCTGAAGGCTGAGATGTCAAAATCAGGGTGTTGGCAGATTTGGTATCTGGTAAGGTCCCATTTCCTGGTCCAAAAAATGGCTCCTCCTTGCTGTATCCTCACTAGTGGAAGGGGCAAGGCAACATCCTTCGGCCTTTCTATAAAGGCACTAATTCCATTTATGGAGCCTCCCCCCTCGAGCTCTAATCACAGCTGTCTCCTTATGATATCATATTGTGATTAGGCTGTAATGTGAATTTTGGGGAAGCACAGACATTCAAACCATAGCACTATCATTTTTCCAATGCCAGACCCTCTTGATTATTGTGGTTATATTGTAATATTCGAAAGCGGGTTTCTTTTTTTTTTTTTTTTAACTCTTTTCCTTTAAGTGATAGTTTTGGCTATTCTGGGTCTTTTGAATTTATATACAAATTTAAAAATTGATTTATCAATTTTCCTACAAAAAAGAAAAAACCCTATTGCATAGCCATGTGTAGTGGTGCACACATGTAATCCTAGTACTCTGCTTAGTGACTTAGCAAGACCCTGCTCAAAATAAAAAGTAAAAAAGGACTGGGGATATCAGTGAAGAGGTGTGAGTTCAACCTCTCTGGTACTGCAAAAACAAAACAAAACACCCAGAACGAAAAGAAATGGTTGAGATTTTTATTGGATCTCTTATTGAATCTTTAGATCTGTATTAGGAAAAATAATGATGACATAGTAACAATATTTTTTCTTTTTTATATGAATAAGCTATGTCCCTCACTTTGTTTGGAGCCCCTTTATGTTTTCTCAGTGATGATTTATATGATTTACTTTCCCTCTTCATAGTAGTGTTTCAATATAAAGTTCTCTTATGTCCTTGATCTATTTTAAAAAGTGTAAAAGAATTATGTCACTATGAATTTCTTAAATATTTAGTTTTCAGTTTGTGGCTACAAAACAGAGACACAATACAGTTTTAGAATATTGACTTTGTAGGATGTCCCTCTGCTTTGAGTTCTAGTGTTTTCTATGTTAATTTGAATGATATCTCTTTTACATTTAAACCCTTGACCATCTCTCATTTTGAAATACTCTCCTTCACCTTTAGAGATTCTTTATCTGGTTCTTCTGTTTCTCTGCTCATGACTTCTCTCTTTGTTTAACTTTTAACTGTTGGGTATTCCTGTCTCGAGACTCCGTTGCCCCACCCCTTTGTCTTTGTGTTAATTTCATCTGCTCGCATGGCTTCCACTACTGTGTGTGCAGTCCTTCCTCACACTCTTTTTATTAGCACCCATCACTCCCCTAACCTAGTCTCAGTGTCAACTGCCGGAAGTTTAACTCCCTCATTCGGTTATTACTCAATCTCAGCATTCAACCTTGAGGTAGGTATACGTCTGCACTCTTAGTTTTGCAGGCACACACATCTGTATTTGAATCTTGACACTGTTACCCACTGGAAAGGGAATTTGGGGAAGTTATTTGTTACCGCTGACTCTTTGTTTGCTTCATTTATAAAATAAAGGAAATAGCTGAACTTCAGGGCTATGCTGATCGTTAAACACATTGCACATGCACACAGCTGCAGCTTATACTGTCAATTACCTTTTGCTCCTTTGCTCATATTTTCTTAGTTTAGTATTCCCTCTTTTACAAGTTGCGTTATTCAGGACCAAGTTCAAAATGTCAGATCTTCCAAAAAACATGTAATGTGCCTCAGGTGCACCAAATGTTATAAATTCAAATTTCCTTATTCTTTTTCTCTATCTTGTAGCATTTTCTATCTTCACTTTTTGGCTCAATCTAATATCTCCTTCTAAATTATGATATCCAAAAGAACAAAATTGGTGGCTGATTCTTCTTTGTATCTTTCAGACCAACTAAGCACAATTCACATCTTGTTATTACTGCATGTATAGCTTCCTTTCTTTTCATGTGTATTTATTTCTAAGAAATAGAGCCAGCTGATTCTGTAGCATAAATACAAAGAGTGATTTACCTGACAGTAACCCTGCACCCCACTGTGACACTGTGACCCCTGCCCTGTTTTTGCCCCATGTTCTTTTCTTCTATCCTGAATCTACCTCCATGGTGTGAACCAGCCTTAGTTTTGACTGTGGTCAGCAGGTCCCAGTGGAAGGTTTTATGTGTTTAGCCCTCAAACCTTTGTCTTTTTAAAATTCTGTTCCTGGCATTTGCTGATTTCTAGTGTGTACTCTGTAATCTCCAGCTGTGTTTGATTCCATTCCATGAAAATAAAAAATATGTTGTCCCTACTGCTGAAGAGTTGTCTTGCAAGGTAAAGCTTCTTCCTTTACTATAAGACTATAAATAAAAACTTATTTTGTTCTTAAAAGGTATATATATTTATTTTTCTCCTTTTCCCTTTCAGCTTCCTCTTTGACGTGGCCAACGTATATGTATAAAGAATGAAAATACAATTTCCTTTTCCTTAAACCTAGATATTGATTGTATCACATATTAAAACATAGCTATCTAATTGTGAAATATCTTAAAAAATTAAATTTCAGCAGAGACATTTTATGCTCAGATGCTTCATGGTAGTTGTAAACAAAGAGTCCCATGAGCTGACGCCCCGCTTCTGAGGTCATGATTATACAATGGACTTTCTTATTCTTGTGAGTTTCATTCCTACATTTTGTTTACTGTTTTTAGATTAAAAAGTCTTACATGTTTGAATGTAAATTGTAACCAGCTAACCAGCATTCCTAGAGAACTTTTTTTCCTTGAAGATCTTTCTGAACTTCATTTTAACTACAATCAGCTCATTTGCATACCTGAAGAGATTAAACTCTTAAAGAAGCTCCAGAAGTTACTTTTGGCCAGGAACAACATTGAAGTTTTGCCAGAGGTAAGCAAAATTGAGAGCCTCATTTTATTTGTTTGTTTGCTTGTTTGTTGGCGGGGAACTTATCTTAATATGATGGCAAGTGGTTTGGATCAGCTTTGGGATGCTGGTACACAAGCCCTTACTTAACTTTCACTCAGAGTAGATAGATTGAATTCCCAAATCCCTCTGAAACAGAAGGGCTCCAGTTTGGGTTATTCCAAGAGATATCATATTTAATAAATCAAAATGCATGGTGCTTCCTTTAATTTGAATTTCAGATAAGCAATGAATAATTTTTTAATATATCTGAGATGTTGTGTGGGATGTACTTATACTCAAAATTATTCATTGTCTGAGATTTAAATTTAAGTACTGTATGTTTAATTGAGCAACTCTCTGTACAGGGCAAAATAGAGATTTCCTTTGATTTTGGAATACATGTTGGAATACGTGCTTCCGTTGTTCCTCTGTGTGCGCTCTTGCTCTTAGTCTTCCTCTAACCTGCCCCGGGCCTGGGGACTCTCCTGTACAGATATCAGTGAGCTCCTTTCTCTTCTGGCGGTCTTTGGATTTGGCCAGTGAGAGACGCTAGCAGGAAGTGAAAGGGCAAGTGTTAGTACCAGATAGTATCCCCACAGCGCCTTCTCTGGCAGGGTGTCTTGGCTCCTTGAATTTCTAGAGGGCTGCAGTTACTGTCAGGTGGTCCTGTCATGGGCCAGTACCCCTTCTCTTCAGCTGTTCAGGACTCGGATAGTAAGAACTCACTGCTGCCACAAGCATTGTGGGTTTAGGGAGCCAGTCTCCACGGAAACTTAGTGTGCCTAGACCCAGGCAAACTGTTATCACACTTTCCTCAGATTTCCGGTTTGAGAGTTTTTCCCCACTAAGAACAGGTCAGTGGATTTACCTTTCTTCCTTAGGCAAGGTAGAGTTAGTTGGTAGGGAACACATGATAGACAGTAAACTGAGGGAAAATAAGAGCAGATTAGTAAAGTCCACATACAAATGTAGAGTATTTACAGTTTTATTTTTTCTTATGAAGATGTTTCCTTTAAAAATCCTGTATATATGATCCATGAATATATGTTAAAGTGGTTGGCAGCATATATTTAAAATATTTTATTCTTAAACTGGGCATGGTGGCTCATGCCTGTAATCCTAGCACTCCGGAGGCTGAGACAGAACAATTGTTGTGAGTCTGAGACCAGCCTGGGCTACAAAGTGAGCTCAAGCCAGCCTGAACTGGATAGCAAGACCCTGTCTCAAAAAGATAAAAAAAATATATATATTCTTAAGTTTTTCTTTGTTTCTTTTTGGCTTTTTGAGACAGTTTCATTATGTAGTTCAAGCTGGCCTTGAGCTCACTAAGTAGCCCAGGCTGGCCCTGAACTTGAGGTAATTCTCCTGCCTCAGCCTCCCAAGTGCTGGGATTATAGACCTGTGCCACCATGCCCAGCTATTCTTTTTTTTTTTTTCTAAATTTTTTTTTATTTTAAAGATAAAGGAACTGAAACATGTTAACAGACACACAGATATAAATAAAACAAAATAAAAATAATAAAAGCAATACAGTATTTCAGACAAGGTGATAGGAAATTAATAATGGTTGTATTACATACTAGAATCTTCAATTTGGTTACTCAGATGAACAAATATAGGCATGAAAGATTGATCAAACAATTAAACATTAATTATTCCTTTCAATAAAGCAACAGGATTTAGTAGTACAATTATTTTAGCTATCTTGTGTATATTTTTCCTTATATATTTTTCCCTTCTTTCCTTCTTTCTTTCTTCCCTCATCCTAGTTCTTTCCTTTTGAGCAGTTTCTTTCCCTTTCACAATACCTATTATACCTTTTAGATTTTATTTACTCTTTCAGGTTCTTACACTAGGGAGACAATACAGTGTTTACACATGTGGGTCTGATTTATTTCACCTATGAGTATGGTCTCTAGTTGCATCCATTTACCTATAAAAGCCTTGAGTTTATCTTTCTTTATAGCTGAATAATATTCCACATCTTTATTAATACCACATCTTTACTAACCATTCCTCAGCTGATGGGCATTTGGGTTGTTTCCATGATTTAGCTATTACACATTGCGCTGTTTTATTTTTTTATTTTAATTTTTTTTGGTTTTTCTCCGGTACCGGGAACCGAACTCACAACCTTGCACTTGCCAGGCAGGCGCTTTGCTGCTGAGCTAAGTCCCCAGCCCCCATTGTGCTGTTTTAAACATGGGTGCACATATATGGGTGCTGTGGTATGATGTTTTTAGTTCTTCTGGAAAAATACCCAAAAGGAAAATAGCTGGGTTGAAAGGGATCTCTAATCCTAGTTTACTGAGGAATCTCCAGACTGATTTCCACAGTGGTTGCACCAGTTCACACTCCCACTAACAGTGGAGAAGTGTTCCTTTTTCTCCACAGACCCTCCAGCATTAGTTATTGGTTGATTTCTTGATGATGGCCATTCTTTATGGTGTGAGATGGAATCTCAGTGTTGTGTTAATTTGCATTTCTCAAATGACTAATGATGTTGAACATTTTTTCATGTATTTATTTGCTGCTTTTTTCATGTATTTATTTGCTACTTTTTTTTTCATCTCAGATGCCCATCTTTGGATTGGGTCTTTGAATTTTGGAGGCCTGATTTTTAAAAATTCTTTATATGTTCTAGATAGAAGTCCTTTTTCTGAGGGGCAATTGGCTACACTTGTTTCCCAATTTGTGGGTTTTCTTTTTACTCTCTTGGTGATTTCTTCAGATGTGCAAAAACTTTTCAATAAGATGAGATCCCAGTTGTTGATTCTTTGAAGTATTTCCCATGCAGTTCAGTTTTTTGTTCATGAACTCTCTGCCTATCCCAATGTTGTCAAGATTTTCACCTACTTTCTCTTCCAATAAATTTAGAGTTTCTGTTTTAATATTGAGATCTTTAATACATTTTGACTTGAGTTTGGTGAACTGTGATTGACGTAGGTCTAGTTTTAGTCTTCAGCATGTGAAAAGCCAGTTTTTCCAGCACCATTTATGAAAGAGGCTATATTCCTTCCAGTGAACATGTTTGGCCCCTTTGTCGAAGATAAAGTGACTGAGTGTGTTTGTAGTTGTATCTGTACCTTGTATCTGTTCCATTGATCTTCAAGTCTTTTTTTTTAACCAATGCCATGCTGATTTTATCACAGTAGCTTTGTAGTGTAATGTCAAGACAGGGATTGTGATGCCTCCTGCCTTGCCTTTGTTGCCCAGGATTGCTTTTGCTATTCTACGCCCAGCTATTCTTAAATTTCTTAAAAATTCTAATGCCTATTAACAAGTAAAATATCTTAAAGTTACAAAATAAATTTATTAAAACAAACCTTTATTTGAGAGAAAACCAATAACAGCAGCAATGCATCATCCTGTAAATCAGACTACTTCAAGTTCGTCACAACTCTGTGACATAGGTCTTTCATTATCCCTAGTTTAGAATAAGAAGTAGGGGCTGCTGTAACTTGAACAATCTAGAAAGGACAGAAAAAGAGCCCAAACCATATCTGTCGAACTTAAATGTCTATGTTAAAATCACTCCCAGTACTATATAACTTTATGAATTCCAAGAAATATATACTTTTAAAAAATGTAAATGCTAGCTAGTTGTATCATGAACTTTCAATGCCTATGATTGTATATATCCATAGACATTTAATATTATAATTGTATTGTGATATTTATCTTTGTGAAATTCTTTCTTCTCCAGTTAACCTGGGAGGCTTGCTCAGTGTTGACCTAGCCAATCAGAATATTGCATCGCATTGGGCATGTGATTTGTTCAAATGACTTAAACTGTGTCGGTGAGATGGAACTTTGTTGGATTTACAAGAAATAAATGTCTTCTTTCTGTGCTGAGATTGCTAAATAGAAGAAATTAAGCCCAGATATTATAATGTCTATGTTGTCATTCTTTGGGAGCTCTGGCTTTGGTGACAGTCTCACAAAAGCAGAAGATAATGACAGAAGTGAACACCTAGTCCAGCCATACACGATGACATCATTTTGTTTGTCTCTTACCTCAGTCAACTCAGCCATTTATTAGTTTGGGTTGGGTTTCTGTTCACTTCAAAACGAAAGAATCTGGAGTAATTAATACAGGATATTCATAAAAGATGTTCCTCATCTGACCTCTTTTTTCTTTAGTTCTTTTTGCTTACCCTGTTTTTGCCATCCTAGATTTATTATAGCTTTATTTTAAGTAACTACCTCCTCTGATTATAAAAAGAAATCCCTGTTTTTATAACCAAAGAATCTCAGATTAAACTTTACTTCTTCCAGGAAGATTGTCTGACCTTATAATACTAAATGTCCTATTATTTTTCTTATATTACTATACTTTTAACTCTGAGAAACTTATTCTCATAATGGAGCTGGGTCATCATCTATTTCTGAATTTTATATCTTTGATTAAAGACTTGTGGGGAATGTGCATATGCAAAGATTTAGAAATCTGCAACAAAATAACAAATGCAATAATAGACTTCAGTTATGACAGCAACAAATTAATGAAAAAGAAGTTTACTGTCTCCAGAAGTAGCATTATAAAGTGCTTTTGAGCAGGTTAGGAAACCTTTAATTTTGACTCGTGAATACTGAGAACATTTTGGGAGTCTGAAATCTTTGAGGCTAACGCAATAGTAAGAAGAGTATCATGACAATAGAAAGGCACATGAGACTTCAGAAGAGGACCACGTGCATTGTAGATGGCAGATTCCTTTTCAAGGACCTGCTGCCTAGCTATAGGAATGAGAATAACAGACAGTTTCAGTGATTAGCTCTTTCAGGGTCTGCTTTAGTTGGAGGGGCCTCCTTTCTTTTCCAAGTCATGCTCCTCCTAGAGCTTCCTGTATCTGTGACCTAGGAAGGGAGGGTTTTAAGGACTTCGTCTTCTCTCCCTGATACTGAAAAGATTTGGTGGGCAATACCCCCTCTAGAGCTCCTCACCCACTTGAATGAGGTTCTGTTACGTCTGTATCCCACCTTGACTTTTCTGTTGGTCCAATCCTACTTCATGACCCTGATTTTTACAGAGGTGATCCCTATAAAACTTCCAGTACCCAAACTCCATCTCAGAATCTGCTTTCAGAGAATCCAACCTGTGATAAAATGCAGTAAGACCAAAGGGAAAGGTGTTAGCATGACTAGAAACATACTATTTCCTAGGGAGAAGATTGGCCAGCAGAAAAGGAGGGTAATATCTGAAATATCTCTACAAATTAAATCATTTAGTAAATCAAACTCTTTTTCAATTTAAAAAAATCTTGATATTTCTAGTTGAAAAGAAAAAAACCTAGTTATCTGCCTATCAGTAGATACACTAGAACCTAGTTGTACTATAACAACCACATAGTTACCATGGTTATGCAACAGGGCAGGTAGGTGCAGTTTTACTTTCTTTATAAAGAAAGAGTTGCCTTAACATAGTGCTAAGCAAAAGATAGATACATAATGAATTACCAATAGAGACAGCATTCCAGAATTATTTCTCAGTTTCTTCCTACTTAATAATAGGTAAGTCTGTCAAGGGCTCATAATATCATAGCTGCTTTACTTTTATTTTTATTTTTTATGTTTTTGTCTTTTTGAGATAGGGTATTGCTATAGAGTTCAGGTTGGCCTTCAGCTCACTTTTTAGCCAAGGCTGGCTTGGAACTCACAACCATCCTCCTGCCTCAGCCTCCTGAGTACAGGCATGTACCACCATGCCCAGCTATAGCCCCTTTAATAAGGACTTTTAGGTTAAAAAGTCATTTAATCCATTTAACAACCATGTGAAATAGGAATTTCTAGTAGTATTTCCATTTTATGGATGGAGAAATCAAAAGTATTGGGAGTTTAGAAATTTGTCCACAATTATACTTAGTAACTGTCAGGGGTGAGATTGAACCTAGAACTAGTTTTTTTTAACATGTTAAATTATTTCCCTGGGGTGGTTAGAGGAAATACAATCTATAGGAATCATCTTTGGTCAGTTAACTTGAAAAGTTGGTGACTTCCATCAAGTTTAGGCTTAAAAGACATGATTTAGACATTAGATTAAAAAAACTCTCTCTCTTTTGTTTTCCAACACAGGGAATTTGTGATCTTAAAAAGCTAAGAATCCTAGACATAGCTGGAAATATTATTCAGATATTTCCACCAGGAGTAAGTAGAGTCAACTTCTATTATAATTGAGAAATAGTTTTGTTTATACTATTGGGAGTAGAAAAATACAGGCAACCTGTAAAAGCTTAGGTCATTGGAACTTTGAATTATACAAATAACGAAAAAATTTGCTGTGTTCTAAAATTTCAAAACTTGTTCTTTCCCATTCTTCTCTTTGTGTTTGGTGCCTGCTGAACTTGTTTGAACTAAATGAACTCTGATTTCTACCATAAATATTGTAATATATCAGCTATGATTAAATTTTTTTGTTATTACATTTTGCTTTTGGTTACTTTAGATGTCTTGAAAATATTATTTCCCAGGGCATAAATTTTCATTCTTTGTAATTAATCCAAAGGTGACACTTTGTTAGTTGTTTTTCAGCCATAAGCAATGAAAAATGTACGTTTTTTCCATTTGAAAGTGAATTTTGACTTTGATTTACTTCAAATAACTGAGAAATATTTCATCTTGGCACCTTCTAACTTGTGGGAAAGAAATTACAGTTTTTCACGTTGCATTTTTGTAGCCAAGTGAACATGCTTGAACCTTCAAGGTAATAATTAGAAGTCCATTAATTCCAGAGCACACTAAAAGAAAAAAGCTGTTGATCCATTAATTATTTTTTTCTGATTGATGGGCTCCAAATGGAGATTTCAATCCTTTTCATCCTCTAAACAGTATTTTATACTAAAGGTGAATGAAATATGAAAAATGTGTTGAAAGTCTATGATTTAGGAAACTATATATAATGGCTTTTATTGTGGTAAAAGTATATATAATGTAAAATTTTCCATTTTCATAATTTTAATTATGTGGTCTGTGTCACCCGGATTTTCACCCTGTCCATCACCACCATCTACCTCTAGGTCTTTTTCATCTTTATCTGAAACTGTATCTATTAGACAAATTCCCTATTCCCTTTGTAGCACTTAATTCAGTTCCTATAAGTATTATAGAAATGACATTTTAAAATCAGATATGTTTTTCTGTCCTCTGAGAACTACCATTGTAATTTCTATCTTAATGAATATGACTACTCTTAGCCTTTTATACAAGGGGGCTCATACAGCATTTATTCTTTTGTGACTGGGTTATTTCTCTTAGCATCATGTCTTCAAAGTTCATCTGTGCTTAACGTGTATCAGAATTTCTTTCCTTTTAACCTGAATAATATGTCTATGTCTATGTCTATGTCTATGTCTATGTCTATCTCTATCTCTGTCTCTATCTCTATCTCTATCTCTATCTCTATCTCTATCTCTATCATCTGTCACTTTTTGTCTGGCTATTTATCTGAAGACAGATACTTGGGTTGTTTCCTACTTTTGGATACTGTAAATAATCCTGACGTGAACAGGGGTACACAAGTATTTGTTCTGGTTTCTGCTTTTAGGTCCTCTGGTCCAATATACTTAGAAGTAGTATTATTGAACTATAAAGGAATCCATGTTTAATTTTTTAAAGGATTCATTATACCATTTCCAAAGTTTACAATTTTAAATGTTTAGTAAGAATTGGATGTTGTTAATGTTGACCTCATAAACGCAATATGATTTTATTCATTCTGTGGGTTTTAGCTCTCTGTGCCCTATAATGCCTTCCTGACTTCCAAGGTAGCCAGTCAGCACCACTTTTCCCATGGTACCACACAATGGAGTAATTCTTTTCAAATCTCTTGTTATTGGACCGTAAGCTTCCAAAGAGAAGAAAAAACCTTCCTTTTAAAACTTCTATATCAGTCGTATCTTGAATTTCAAAAAAGTATTTGTCAGATGAATAAATGCAGATAATGTTGTTCAGCTGCAGTCAACATTCACCCTAATTGTGCTGTTAATTTACAGTTTCCTTTACAAGTTGGTTCTACACGGACAATTTTGGAAAAAACAAAACTATTACTTAGGTCCCAATAATTTACTTTTGGTAGGATGTGAATCGGTTTCACCTTCTAGCTCTCTGATAATTAACCTTAATTGTGTCAAACCGATTGGCTTGAGAAACACCAGGGGATCAGTCAAGCACAGTTCTGGGTGGGTTTGGGTGGATCATGGAGATGTGACCTTGGGCTCTCCATAGGATCACTGGCCTCTTCCTCTCTGGTGCTGTCCCCTTACTCTGCTTCCTGGCTGCCATGCATTGAGCAGCTTTTCTCTGTCATACCCTTCCACTGTGTTCCTGCCTAGGTGCCAGCCAACCATGGATCTAATCCTCCAAGCTGTGAGCCGAAGCACATCTCTCCTGCTTTACATTGTGGGTGACCATTATAGGGTCTCAGTGAGGAGAAAGCTGATCGACATAAGCACCTATTTCAGAAACTTTTGTAAAAATTCTAGAATGAGGTAGTGTCTGAACTCACCTGCAAAATACTTTGCTTCAAATTTTTCAAAATTATTTTACTTTTTTTGTTTTGTTTTGTGCCTCACTACTTTTAGACAAAGAATCTTTCTGGGAACTGTTCTAGTCCTAAAAGTCTGATATAGTGCCTACTACAGTGTAAGCGCTCAATAAATATTTACAAGATTACTTACAAGACCTTTTACTGGTATAGTAAAAGGGAGAGGTTTAGTAAAACTGGGAGAGGTTTAAAGCCGAGGCACCAGACTTGGGTAGGAAGGCCTGTTTCTGGTAATTGCTGGAACTCCCTTTATTTAGTAAGTTTCATCTGGGACCTTAACTTGAACATGCTCAGTCAACCTGGCCTCACAAGGAAGCATAAACAAGAGCCCCATTTGCTAGCATTATGAGGCTGGAGGCACCCCAGTCTTTTTAATGATTTCCCCCCATAAATGTATACTTGGCACCCTGTTGTCACTTGTTTGATGCCCGAGTTACTGAAAAAAAAAAAAAATGGAAATGGGACCATTCACGATTACTTATCCAAAACCTTTCCATGACTTTGATTTTGCTTTTTAAAAACATAATAGTTCGCTTCAAATTATTTTGGGCCACTGGTGCAAAATTAGTTTCTTAGATTTGATAATATTGCAACTAACTGGACAAATGGCAAACAGGGTGAGTGACTTATTCTAGGCTGTGATAGTCAGTGGAAGAGGAAATTTTATGGTACTATAGTCAGATCTAGTGTATAAGTCTTTCTTTTGTCTTTTTTCTTTAATTTTTAAAATAAAAAATTGTGTGAAGTATGCATCCTGATATTTCCAGCAAAAAAAAAAAAAAAAATACAGAGTGAGAGTGAAATTCTGTATTCTAGGACCTCACCATCTGTATATTTTTAGAAAAGTTTTGTTAAAACATTGTTCTTCATAGTATACTGCACTTAGGTTGGCTTTATTTTATTCAATTTTCCAAACCGAGTTTTTAAAAAGGTATTCTCCAAATATTCAAAAGATGTTGTCTATAGTAGAAAAATAGTAGATGAAAAGCAAAATCTAGACCGATTTAATTTGGTATAACATTGCACAATATGAGTATTTTTTCAGTTCCTCAGATAAAATTATTTGATATATGATTTGCAAGCTATTCCTACCCCAGGTCTAACCTTCCTACCCCAAGTCTGGTGCCTCTCCTTCAAACCTCTCCCAACATTTTTACTGATATTTATACCAATAAAAAGTCTTGTAAGTAATCTTGTGAATATTTATTGAGCACTTACACTGTAGTATATAAGACATTATATTATTTGATATATAATTTATATTATATATAAGACATTATATTATTTGATATATAAGACATATCACATATGTAATAGTTTGCAAAGTATCTTTACTTCTTGGGTGAATAGGTATTGCTGAGGTTTAGTTTGAGATATTGTTTTCTTTCTAGCCATTTAGCTTCCTTATCTATATGTATCCTTTTAGAATAGCATTTTTCTGGTGTTTTTCTACATTTTGTAAAATGTAAAAATAAACAAGAATAGAAGGAACAAAATGCGAGGTGCCTTTTAAGTTTACCTCTCAGACAGAACACTCGTTATTTTCTTTGATCACCTCATTTTTATATACTCACTTAAAAAATCAAATTGAAAAAATACTGAATGAAAAGTATGTATTTTATTTTTTAATGAACATGTATTGAACAGTTTCCTTAATGAATACTTTTCAAATATTTTACTTTTAATCACTGAGTGTGCTAATTTTTTAAAAATTGCTCACTTTTGCTTACATTTTTATTTTTATTTGCTGTACTTAATTTTGAATGCACAAGCCTTTGGAAAAAAGATGCTTTGAACTAAAGTGATTTTTATTTGCATATTTCTTTGGGCGATGTGCCTTGGGTGGGCAGTAAACAATATATAGAACCCTTACCAGTTATTTACTTAAGAGAGGAAACAATAATGCTTAGTGTATTAGTTTCCTATAGCTGCCACAAAGTGGAGTACCACAAAGTGGAGCATACAGTATTGTGCTTGCTTTCTTTTCGTAGGTGGGTGTGGTCCACCCTAATCCACATGACTTCATTTTTACTAATTATATTTATAAAGACTCTGTTTCTAAATAAGGTCACTATCTTAGTTACTTTTCTCATCGCTGAAACAAAATACCTGACACCCAAATTAAAGGGGAAAAGGATTATTTGACTCACAGTTTGTAGAGATTTCAGTTTATAATAGGCTGGCTTCAAGGCAGGGTGGCAGACACATCTTGCAGAGGAGAAACTATTCATGGCAGGCAAAAGGTAGCAAGGAAATAAGGGACTTTAACAATGTTTTTCTGCCCCTTTTTATGTGCTATCATGGCTACTGGAACAAGGGCGGTGCCAAACTGATCAGTGGACTGATATTGTAATCACATGCCCTTAATCCCAGCATTGTACCAGGAATAAGTCACATAGCCTTGATGCACCCACCTCTGAAAAAGTTCCAGCTCTGACTGCATGAGGCTTTGGGGACATCTGGACACAAATATAACAGTCACATTCTGAAGTTCTAAGTAGATGGGAATTTTTGAGAGAGCTACTACTCAATCCATTGTACTTTGGTAGAATATTGAACTTTTGTATCCTATCTTCTGTCTGCGTAATAGATACAACTTTTTATT